ATGAGAGCGAAAACTAAAGGACATTAATTTTCGTAATTTTAAATTATTCCAAGATAATGTCTTTATCTGTTACGGTCTTTATAAAAGCTTGGGTTTATCGTTTGGTTGTTTAACATTAAAGTTGTATAATATTGAATATACTCAAAAGAGTTACTCTAGCGATTATACTGAGAAAAGCTTTACTAGTAGGTACTAGTCGCGGCAATGTCGCGCGATGTTTGCGATTCGAAACTAGAGAGCATTCCTCATTATATTTACGTCAGCAACTTGTAATTTTTGGTTAATTATGTCTCACAATATTTACTGAAAAACAGTTCTACATTAGTTATAATTCGACATAGGAAATTTTTACGTGTAACAAATAACAGTTTAATATTCTATTAAGTATAGAAACAACAAGAGACTGGTAACCAATACTATTTAACAATTTACAATACATAATAAATTGTAATTGTTAATGGTTATCTATTAGAAATACCAAGTCACTCTATTAGTCTTAGACTTAAAACAAAACTACAAAGTACCTTGATCTACTAAAAACTTCAAGACAAACGATGACTTACTCCCAATACTTAGACAAAAAGTTTACGACAAAGAAAATAAAACCTTCATCGAGAATTATTTTCGCATTGTTTCCACAATCCACGAAGGACGAGAGATAAAATTCGGATCTACCAAGTCACATTAATCAATATACACATAACTCATAATATCTTTTATTTGTAACTTCCTAGACTTATTTTCTAAATAATATATTACGAGTATAAGGAAATACAATGATGCACGCTTCATGATACTTTCTTTAGTCGAATGTCGTGGTTGATGAACCCTTTCCGCGCGGCGTAAAAGCAATAAATTATACGATAATGAAGGCGAAGTCCCTACTACGGGTCTCGTTGATTGATTTGTAATATACTCTCTAGAGTTTTTGTGGGATAGCTTATATTTGCTATTTTCGTTGGCTATTCGAATGAAGATGCCTAATTTTTATTTTAATGTCCGTCTGGTAGATTATTTTAAATCATTAGACATGTATTCATTATTTTCTTACAGAAACGAATACTTTCGACGATATATTGATTTGAAATGTCGCGTGACGTCACTTCTATGTACATTTTATTCGTAGGAATGACGTTTTAGCCCCCACTCTTAAACTTTGATTCGTTTTATCTAAGTACGTGTACGTGTCTAATATTTTTTCATTACCTAACTTACGGATTAATTAGATTTTTAATATTCATACCCTGTTATCATCCCAATTATAGAGAAGCGGCTTTCCAAAATGTTGAAAATTTGTAGATATACATATTGTTAATATATCAATAGGATTGGAGTTATGTTTCTACTTTTTCGAAAATAACCGTTGATTGTAGTTAGATAGTAAACGTCTGTACTCATTTTGATTGACGTTACATTCTATGATCTTATTGCAGGCTCAAGTCGTTGGTGCAAACCAACAGTAAGTACATGTACTTTTAATTTATTAAATAGTGGCTTAGATAAAAATCTTTTTTAGCTTTTCCACTATTGAAGACCAAATAAATCTGACTAATCGTGCACTTAATAAAGTGCTTAATGAACTCACTATGTCCAGCTTAATTGACTAGAATGTACTTTATTTAGGTCATTAAAAACTAACATTATTGTTTCGCTATCGTAGAGATTAAGTCGCCAGTTTGGCAGGGAAAGAACATTATCGCCGCAAATAACTTTATTACTTGGCAGTTTGTTATTTAAAAATTTAAATAAACTCTAAACGTGCCAAGTGTGAAGTGAGTTAATGTCCACACAAAATTTAGGTCATCATTGTCACTTTGGTCATGTAAAAATTGAAACTAATGTGTATAGAATAAGAGCGTAGTAGGTCGTTGTGTGTAAGTAATAAATTTGTTCAAACTGCAATAAAAATAACAAAAAATCGCGGGTTATTCACGTGAAAGTACTGAGAAAAACCGGTAGCGGCTCATGAAGAACCCCTCTGTGGTTCGAAACTAGTAGAGCTTTTCTCAGCATTTTGACGTGAATAACCCGCGATTTTTAGTTAATTTAATATGTGTCACGATAGTTGTTTTAATAAAATTAGCAATATTTTAGTCAAATATTTACGTTCCATTATATAGTTTCTTAGTAAAAAATACATATTAAATTATTTTTCACTATAAAGGTTTTTTGAACTCTATTTTATTTTATAGTAAATCTAGTTATATTACAAGTAAATCTACTTACGTTACTTGAGTAGCTGTACCGCGTACATTCGTCTATGTAAATACCGCAAGCTACTAATAGATGGCGGTACGATATACGATATTACCCTTTGGTCAAATTTCATTAAGTCTCAGTGCTCATTTACCTACGTCCATGACCTTCTTCGGTATAAGCAAAAATAAAAACAATGAAAACATCATTATAATTATGACTGTAGTTTTAAGACAGTAAAGTAAGTATATTATTATTGTAGATAATAAATATTTCGTCATTAGTTGGAGGATGTCCACAGCTGAACAAAGGCTTTTATTACTGTATTTGGCTGGCTACTTATATATTATAATTAGATCATTGCAAAACTAAAGGACGCTGTTAGCCATCTTTTTTTAAAGGGAGAATATCATCGAATGACTTCTCCCGCCTGGGTGAGGCGGGAGGGAGTGTCAGACTCTTACTGACTAAAAACCACGCCGTTCCTTCTCCTGCACGTCGAGCAGGAACCCCGGCAACTCGTTGGGTTCTCCGCGACTCCGAGCTGTTAGCCGTCTATACTGACATTTGTCTGAGATTTTAGGAGAGCTGCACGGTAGCGCGGTTGTTGGGCAAACGGTGCCGCGCAGCGTGTGCAATGGGTACGATATTCGCACGGAGCAACACTTTGTGTAATCCACAAATTGTTGTTCCGGGTCTGGGTGTGATGCGTATGTGAACTTGTATGTTTGTAAACGCACCCACGACACAAGAGGACATTTTAGAGTGGGGAAACGTTACCTAACAAAAAACTAAAAAAAAAGCGTGTTAGCACTTCTCTAGTCACAGATAAATAAAATTAGAGTGTCTGTTTGTAATATTAAAATAACCGCTTTTTACTACATGCATATGAATATATGTACATACCATACACATACCAAAATGACATTTTTTTCAATTTTGTTTGTCTGTCTACCTGTTTGTACTGGCTAATCTCTGGAATGGCTGTACCGATTTTGCAAGACTTTTATTGGCAGCTAGCTGATGTACTAAGAAGTAACAAAAGCTATTTTTATTTTGGAAAAATGAAACAAAAAAAGAACAACGTCCTAAAATTCATATTCCACGCGGACGAAGTCGCGGGTAACAGCTACTGGATAAGAAATTACCTATAACATCAACGTAAGCTATTTTTTATGAATAAGAATTCGAAACTATAAGACGCAGCACAATGTCACTAAACGACAACTCACCTTCAGCTAATAGTAGGGGACGGAAAACTCTTAGCACAGCTCGGTGCCGGGAACCATTCGGATGATGGATGACCGCCAATGAGGCTCAAGTAGTGAATATTAAGAATTATTTATCAAAACTCTTACGATAAGGAAAATAATATACCATTTTGCTGTGAATCGATTGCAAGGCGCCATTATATTTACGACTTTAGTGTCCCGTTGAATGAACATTGATAAGTTTTAGGAGATAACTTTATTGTTTAGTTTAATTTATTATTTGTCTTCGGAAGTGTTAGTCTTTATTATCCATGATTCAATGAACGTATTAATATTTATTTTCGGGTTTTTTTTTCTTTGATGGATCAACGTTTGACGACTATCTCGACTGGTAGTAAGCGATAATGCGACTTTATAGCATGTCTGCCCATTGTTCATCAAGGTTACGGGTTCATTATGGTTAATCAGAACAGCTAAGAGGATTCTTTGCTTTGCTAGATGTAATAGAGACTATGTTTTCTGATTAGTAATGGGTGCCTTCCGGGCCTCATCCTGGTGGACCGGTTGTGATACTCCTCATATGAATAACACAGAACATTTTACTAGTTGTACTACGTACGGCGTCTTTGTGGAAGAACATTAAAGATTGAAAGATTCTGCAAGGTATTTTTCCTTTTTTTTAACATTTGGATTTTCTCCTGTGGGTGGGTGCGTTTACAAACATACAAGTTCACATACACAATGCCACCCAGACCCGAAACAACAATTTGTGGATCAGACAAAATGTTGTTCCGTGCGGGAATCGAACCCGCGACACGTTCCACGGCAGCCGGTTGCCCAGCCACCGCACCGACCGTGCAGTCATTGCAGTTATATACCTAATTACACTATACTTTTTTCCAAAAAGTACTTGATGAAGTTATCTAGCTGTATATAACATAAATAAGTAGAGTTGTTAGTGCTACTTATATTGTAGATAATATTATGAACATTACATACTAAATTATCAGCATAATATGAGCTAATAACATATACACTACCTATAGTGAATGAAATATTACGGTAAACTGCGAGATAATACACTACCAAATTTTAAAGCACAGAAAGAGAAGTGTTTTTTTATAGTAAATATTCACACAAGATTCAGGAACATATTTTTCTAGTCAAAACTTTGACTGTATCTCAAACTGTGGCTGAGAATGTAACGTAATACCTACGTAGATTTGTTTCTAAAGATTGTCAAGACAAAGTTGTATGATGTTTTACATAATAGTGTAGATAATATTGGTGTTTTCAATTTATTGTTATCACGTCAATAAGATTTGAATTATACGCTATTTTGATGGGACAGTTTATTAATATTTTGGTTAGTTTTGGCAGCTTTCGTCTTATTACTTCTTGATTTTTTAATAAACAAACAATAATTCGTGATATATGTAACAATTCACGACTACAGTACAAATCTTTCAAAGATTTACATTATTGAAAGCCTAAAATCCTCAGGCTAAGGACTAACTGAAAGGAACCTACAAATTATTTGTATCTTATTCTGTGAATAATAACAGTACAAACAAATCCAAAAAAAGATGTATATTTCGTTCAATTTGTTAGAGTATCGTTCGTAATACAGGTACTTTGTTATGCAATTGTCCAGGATTTTCGTGGAAAGTTAAGGCTCTGTCTATCTGCCATTCTCTCAACGTTTTAATCTGTGTCCCGGGTACAACGTTTTCGTCCATATATTTAGCTTTGTACAGCTCATTTCTGAACGTCTTCAGCTGGTCTCTCATATATTCTATGGGTACTTTTGTTATAGCCAGCATTCTAGGTTTATAGCTGTCACTTTCGGGAACGTTTTTGGCCTCATATAATTCGTATATAAGGAATTTGTCGTGAGATTTTGGTGCTCGAAGAAACACTGCGTAATCATTGCCTACATGGAGGAATCCTCTGAGGTTGTGCTCTGATTTGAAACCGTCGACAAATTGGAACATCTTGTGTAAACGAACCGAGTTTGATTCGTCAAAAAACAAAAAGCACACAAATGTAATTGTTTGGATCTGAAAAAGAACGAATGTGTAATGTATTATGTGTCTTATGAACATTTTGTTAAAAAATAAAGTTGTATGAAGTGATAAAAAAGTTAACATTGATTTATTTTTTTTTACGGAATCATATCTTCACACAATTTTCACAACGCAACGAAGGGTTGTAGTATCGATGTGAGCAGATGACAGTTTGACATAGAACGCTAAAAATACCCTTCAAATCAAAGAATCCCCTATGCAAAGTCATCACAAAAATTTCTTTGAACTTTCAGATGACCGATATTTTGAGAAAATCTGAGTTCCAAATAACCACACTATTTTTCTGCATAGTTTGCCACGCACACAAGCATTCTAATACTAAGGTATTTTTGCACAAAATCAAAGGAGTTTTCATCCTTAAAAGTTCAATAGAATTCAATAGAACCCAAAATATGTTAAGGTAAAAATTACCATAGTATGACGTCGGTGGATGAAATTATTTATTTTTACCACAAAAATGCTTTATAAGTTACTAGCTTTTACCCGCGGCTTCGCTCGCGTCACAATAGGATAAAAAGTAGCCTATATGACATATACAAATACACACAGCGCCATCTATAGCAATAATTTCGTTTCCCTTCGAGAATATCAAATTTTTCCGGGATAAAAACTACCCTATTATTTAATCCAGACTTCTAACTTTACGTCTGCAAAATTTCAAAGCAATCGGTTTAGTAGTTACGGCGTGAAAGTGGAACAAACAAACAAACTCACTTTCGGATTTATAATATTAGTAAGGAGTAAGGATGACAAAGATGCATTTCACGATTAAATTTCGCGTCTTCTTACTTTCATTGTTTTTAAAAACGCCAAGTTTGTTTTGGAAGTGGAAACGTGACACCTCATTAGGTGACTTAGAGTGTCGCTTCCGAAGTAAGGTGTTGGGTTTACGGACCACCTTGAGTATTATGGAAATTTAGGAAAATGCTTTTAAAATGTACAAAGAAAAGTTTGAGATGAGACGACTTAAATTACTTCTCATTGAGTTTTTCTTTTCTTGAACGGACGAAATGTGTCAGCATATTGTTAGATGTTTTTATATTAGAATTGTTATTGATTTCTCATTACTGTCGTGTTTTGAATACAAAAGGATGCCTTCATTTTATTGTCAAAATAAACAATTTTATACGACATCATACTGCTGATCTGAACATTATCAATATGTAGGTACGAATAAAAACTATACATCACTGAAAAGTAATAGATTTTTGTATGAATTCGGTGAAAATATGCAAAATAAAACACTTACCAAATGCATGCTTATAAAAATCCAATAAACAATAAAATAAATCGTACTTCAGCGATTGGCATGCGTCATCACGATATCGAAATGTTGCTTCAACTAAAATAAAATTCCAATATTTTATGACAAGATTAAATTTTTTAATGCAACAAACAGCATTGCTTATGAAAATTCAATCGAATTGTGTCACTATTTTCGAAAATATAAAATATACTTTTAATATTTTGTTTTAAATCTTTTGGTGATATTCTGTGGACAATGGAAACGTGTTCTTTCAAAATAAAAAAATCCCAGTATAAATCCCGTAGTTACTGAAATTAATGACAAAAAAATGTTGAATTTTTCGGTTGTTTGAAAACTTATTCGAAAGGCTAGGCAGAGGTGCACATTACGGCACTTAATGCTACTGTACAATGTAACACCCACTTTTCACTATTTATGTTATGAGTCCCATGTAATTGGGGTGAGCCTATTGCCATATACCGGGCACATTTCCAGGCTCCGTGCTACTACTGAGATTTTTTTATAAACCCACAAATACTTTGCCCGACCCGGGAATCAAAACCGAGCCTGGCAATCGCACTTGCGACCACTTGGCCGATGATGCAGTACCAGTTTCTCGATCGCTTCAGCCGTTTTGACGTAAGGAAGTAATAATACAAACAGTCGCATTTATGATAATTACTAGGATAAACTTTAAGCATTTTCCTTTATCACCAAGTAACCAAAGTTATAAACTAATGTTATGTTATGTAAGTTTACATAACATAACATCACGCCTTTTTATCCCCAAAGGGGAAGGCAGAGGTGTACATTACGGCACTTAATACTACACTTTTCACTATTCATGTTATGAGTCCCATGTAATAGGGGGTGAGCCTATTGCCATGTACCGGGCACATTTCCAGACTCTGTGCTACTATTGAGAATTTTAAAACCCTGTAATACTTTGCCCGACTCGGGAATCGAACCCGAGACCCCTTGCCCGGCAGTCGCACTTGCGACCACTCGGCCAACAAAGCAGTCTAATTTATAAACTAATTTTATTACTTAATTCGTTTTCTATATTAAACATCTCGTTTACAAATTGTACTACATTCATCGTTAATCGCAACATTTTTACTCTTGCCTCTAAATATGAATGAAATGTTTTAATAAAGGTCTCAACATAAAACACTTTTTAATTATAAAACTAATTAGTTACTAGTTAATGAATTAGCTACTAACTTGTTCTGGATTTTACAAAATTATTTTATACATTGAAAAGAGCTGATTTCTTGGTTAAAAGTATTGGTAGTAATATTCAAAGTCAAAGTCAAAGCATTTATTTCAATTAAAACTTAATTAGGTACGTTTAAACCGTCAAAAATTAAATTGTCTGTCCGTCTGTCTGTCATTGAAGCCAGGTGCTCGTTCCAAAGTGTAGTTTCGAATGGAGACAAATATTCTTGACATTATCGACATCATCATCATCATCAACAGCCTATAAATGCTTACTGCTCAGCAAAGCCTCTTCTCACACAGCGAAGGTTTGAGCATTAATCACCATGCTTGCTCAATACGGGTTCTCGATTACAAACTTATAATTAAAAATTATAAGCCCAAGTTTCCTCACGATGTTTTCCTTCACCGTTTGTCAGTGGTGTCTACATCTTAGAAAGTACATATAACTCGGAAAAAATCACAGTTGTACTTGCCGTTGGTGGGTTTCGAACCCGCACCCTCATGCATGAGAAAGGGGTCATCTTAAACCTCCGGGCCACCACTCTTCACAAAAGTCGCCACAACATTATTGACATAGTTGTTTATGATCTGAATTTGAAGTCTGAATCGGTGTATGCCGTGTACCTTTATTGTTAGTCAGGTGTTCTTAATCAAATAGTATGAATAAATTCATATATCTGGTACTAGCATTCCGCCTTTAAAATGATAGTTAGAGAAGCTTAAAGACTATCTATCAAGAACGAATAAATGTCAGAGTAGTGCTAGATATACGTCCCATAACAGATTATAGCTTCTTCGTTTAGCAGACAGATTGGACATCATAATATAAAAGGATCAGGTAAATCAGAGAGCACTGCAGGCTCGTTTCTTTTACGCCAGATAGAGGAGCAGATCAACTAAAACTCGCGGGTTACTCACGTGAATATACTGGAAAAGCTCTACTAGTTTCGAACCACAGAGGGGCTCTTAATAGAGCTTTTCTCAGTATATTCACGTGAGTAAACCACGAGTTTTAGTTAATTTAGTATGTCTCACGATAGGTATCATAAAAAGAAGAGCATGTATTCAAATCCACCGTCACCACGTGGCCGGTGCAAAATATCATAATAAACATATTCTAAAGATAATACATCGCATTTTATTAGACCAACCAATAAATAACTCCTAACTTCCACCATTTTAACAGATTAGACAACTATAACGCCTTCGTGGATTCAGTTAGTTTGATAGAAATACGAAATATGCCCGTATACTGCCTTCAAATTACCTTATCAAGCCCCTTTCCGCTTGAACTGGTTTCATTACTGACCCACCCGTTATCTGTGTGGGGTTACAAATTTTGTAAACGACCAACAGATATTTCGGGACAGCGATTGATGTGATCTGAACGAGGCATTGGTTTTATTTGTGCTAAATCTATTTTGTAGTTTCGTCAAAGAGATGTTTTCCTGTTTTTAGCCGTATGATCTTTAAGGTCGGATGGATCCTTTTTGTATATTGTAAAGGGTTTTGGGTCGGCACATGATGAAGACCGTTTTTAGTGAATACAATGGATTGTTTTGAAGGTAACGTTGTAATGTTTTTGTCATTCGGGGATTTAAACTAAAGGTGGATTGAAAACATTCGTTATTTTTACTTATGAAATAATGAAGTTTTTGTTCGAAGTATTTCTGAACTTTGATTGATGACACCAATGTACACTTGTTTTATTAATTTTTTACCAATACATATTATTATTGTACTCGTTCAAATGTACCCTTGTATACTACATATGTGTAGCCTGCGTCCTGAATACGTAGGGTTGGCATGAAATCCTGTAACCAGATTTAACCGCAATTTCAAAATATGGAAAAAAATTTATGTTCATAAGAGAACTTCGGTACATTTGAACTTAATGGCGATGTGCTTTCTAAGAGACAAAAGGTCTACAAATAAATTAAACAAGAATATTACTACTACAAATCTATATTTTTGTATTTTATTTTCTAATCAATTAAATGAAGTGTGGGAGAGCCATGCTTTGGCATGAATAGGCAGGTTCGACCGGAGTGATATCACGGCCTCACAGAAGACCGACATGAAACAACGTTGTGTTGTGTTTCTTCGTATGAGTGCGGTTACCGGATGCCCAATTACCCTCCTCCCCTTCCCCAATCCCTGAATCCCCAACAATCCTCAAATTTCTAATCCCAAAAGGCCGGTAACACACTTGTAACGCCTCTGGTATTCCAGGTGTCCATGGGCGACGCCGATTGCTTACCATCAGGTGATCCGTCTGCTCGTTAGCCGGTTTATCCCATAAAAAAATATACATGTAGAAAAGTCCAGTATGCACATTTCTACATTCTACTTAATGGAAGTATGTGGCGAGTTATCGTTCGACGTGGAGGTCTAAAGAGGAGGCCTTTGTTCAGCAGTGGAAGACTTCATCCTGATGATTATGATGACGGTCTACCTACTAAAATAATTTATGTAACATTCTTTTTAATTTTCCACTAAAACTTCTATTGTTAAAAAAAGTAAAATAAATAAAAATAGGATACCTAGATAAAAAAAATAAACTAATTATTTTGAAATAAAATACGTAACCCTTAAAAGCCGTTTTCATTTTGGCGTTAACAAGGCAATAAATAGGTGATAGTTGAAATATAAAAAGTTTTGCCGTCATAGGAACTAAATTCGATCCAGTAGATTATACAGGTTGTTATCGAATTCTTGTATTTTAAACTAATGTTCTATTAATAATACATACCATAGTGAATTGCTACCGCAAAAATGTAATTAATTTATATAAAGTACTTGCTTTTGCCTGCGACTTCGTACGCGATATCCCGTTTTCTCTCGTTTCCGTAGTATTTTCTGTCATAAGAACCTTTTTCTAATAATAGCAAATAACACAGAATTAATGAAATCGGTCCAGCAATTCACGCGTAATGCCGTGACCAAGGGAAAAGGGGGTTCATTTTATATACATATATAAATTAGAAACGTGCACATCATGATTAATAAATACAAGTGTAGGTGCATTTCATCTAGTGCATAGTACGTCAGTGTGCGTGGCACTGGTAGAACCATCGTATAACGTTCCAAATCCCGTAATTTATGTTTATTGGGTATATATTTAAGTGCACTTATACATAATATTTCAACTTGAAAAATACAATTTGTATTGTACTTTTTGACCATCCTGGTTAAAATTATCGTTCATAAGTTCAATAACACCCAATGATTATGTTATAACTTTCGTGGGACATACTAAATAAATTTTTATGTTTTTCGACTTAAGTAATTATTTAACGAGGAACTCTACTAGTTGTAAGCCATGCTAGAGGCTAATGCTAATGAGCAGCACTCCAGTTCTTCGTTAAATAATTACGTAAGTCAAAAAAACATAATAATAAACACCATATGATAAAACTTTTATGAATACTATGAAAAAAAAAGTAAACTCGATCCAGCTTTATACATTTTTGTCAGAGCAAAAAGTACCAACCGACATACAAAAAAAGGATTTCATAAATATATATTTTATATTTTTTGTATGGAAACACAATGGGATCAGGGTTTTTAGCAACCCTAAACAAAAGCCTATCCCTGAATTCATTCCCTAATTGAACATTGGAGAATTGGTATTAATTTTTCGAAATGACGGGTTCATTTATTTGATTGTGTGCCGATTAATATCCGCCTATCCGATGAAACCTTTTTTGTTTGCAAAAGTAGCAGCACTTCCGCTTGGAAATTTTCCAATGAATAAATAGGTACTTACTTATATTGATTGGTTTATGGTTCGTGCAATATTTACGTGTGGGAGAGCCATGCATGGCCGGCTCAACCAGACCAATACCATGGCCTCACAGAAAACCAACGTGAAACAACGTTGT